AATTCAAAATGTCTCCGGACCTTTACTGGTTGATGATTTTCTTTATTCGGAACTGAATGATCTACACGGCAGCATTCTATACCCAGCTATTGTAGCATCTAGGCTAGAGCTGTCAGTCTGGGAAAGAATCTGGTTGTTATTTGAAATTGCAAAGATTCATTTTTTTTTTTTTTTGCAACATAAAACTAGACTAAAACCTTTATAGGTTTAAGTCGACTAAAACCGTCTAAAACTATCACATATCGTAATGACTAAAATGGGACTAAGACTAATAATAGTTTTCATCCTGAAGACTAAAACTAAGACTAAATCTAAGACGACTGTTGAAACTACACTGCTTAGCAGCTGGTGGAGTTAATGCACTGAAAGCTGGTCACAGACTGCCATCAAACCTAAATCTGACATCACTTTCTGTTCTCCTAATATTCACCACTCTGTGTGAATCCCTTTATAACACATTGAAGTCTGTAGCTCGATAAAACAAAGGGGTGTGAATACTCTTTTGGGGGTTGCTGCTTAAGTATCTGTAAATAAAGCACACCTGAATGAACCTAAAGCTTCAGTCCGACTCTGGATGCAGGAACTGATGCATTATGACTCTAAAGGCTGATTTGGTTGCGTATGTAACCAATGATGATGATGATGATGATGGAGCAGCCTACCAAGCTGGACCTGAAGCCGCTGAGATTGGAAGTGCCTGATGTCTGTTTTTTTTTTTTTTGTGGGACTCTTAGGACTAATATATCTCCAGATTGTTCATGACTTCCCGTGTTTCTGTTTCCTCCCTGCTGATGTTTCCATTAAAGAACTAATCTGGAGGAAGCACGGGGCGACAGGAAGCAGAAACATGTTCTTTTTTTTCTACATCGACCTGAATGTATATCTATAGTTTATGGGTCACAAAGATGACTGAACATGATAGTTTTCTACAGTTTGTCGTAACTCCTGACCAGATAAAAAGGAGCGCCCCCTACAGGGCTTGATGTTGCCTCTTATTTGTCGCT